GGTGGATAATTGACCGAAAGTTGCTGTATCATTTAAATCACTTTCATCATCATTTATTTCTAATTCTTCTTTTATTGATAAAATATTAAAATTATTATTATTATTATAATTATTATTTTTTCCACCTCGAGAATACCGTTTTTGATAAAAGTCATCATTTAAATCTAAATCATCATAATCTGAATTATCATTGGTAATCGTATTTAATCCATTAATTTTAAATTTTAATCCACTAGTTAAATCAAATTTGGCTTGTTCTGTAGGTGTTCGATGTCCATTAATAAAAAGTATATCATTATTACTATCACGATTAATTCCATTATTATTATTATTATTTCTCTTTTTATTTCTTGATGAGGTTATTGAATTATTCATATTACTATTACTTTGATATGATAATGATGGATTATTATTACTACTATTAAAAATAAATGATATAGAAAATAAATAATAATAATAATTAGTAATGATATAATAATAATGATAATAATAATAATAATAATAATAATAAAATAATATAATAATAATAATAATAATAATAATAATAATAATAATATAAAAATACTTACTATGATCTCAAACTACTATGATATTCACTCATATTATCATTAGATTCTTTGACCTTCAAACAGTTAAAACATAAATCCAATTTACAAACTCTCGCCCATCTCGCATATGTAGCTAAAGCATCTTGACCTGTACCAAAAAATAAGAAGACAAAGAATCCTACTAAAGGTTTAGAGTAATCAAAGAATGATACACCTAAATTATCACCAGTAAAAAATTCAACCTTCCAAAAATTTTCATGAACTTGTTTAAAATTATAGGGTTGTAAAGAAAGTGTAAGATTACTGAATAATATGAGTAAAGAGGAAGGGAATGAGAGTAGAAGGAATGTGATACAGAAAAATACGAGACGATAAAATTTGGCAGTATTTAAACCGGATTCATTGATTCTAAGAAGACTTTTTATTTCTAGACGTTTTTTGATGATTGCATAAGATGTTCTAGCTGTTATAATTGTTTAAAAAATATAAATACGTTCGTTAGTTAGTCAACAACCAATAGTTCATTAATCTAGAAGTCAAGAGTTTACATGTGATTTTTACGTGATTTACACAAATAAGCAAGCAAGCAAGCATGAGTAAATAATAGAGACAATATTTAATTACCAGCATAATAACATCCAGTTCCAGAAATAATTACAGGCCATATAGCATTAACGAAAATAAATACCCAATCTTTATGTGCTGGAGCAAAACAACCTAATACAGGTCTAATACCATAAATATTAGTTTGTACTAAATAATTAAGTCCCACACCAATTACAGGTAATATTATTGAAACAATTGTATCTCTAATCATTTGACGTTTCTTAACTCTTTCCGATAAAATAATTGGATTCGCCACATAAGTATATAAAGTATGTATCATACAAGCAATTGATGATAATAATCCCCAACTACTACCAACATATAATGGTGTGGAAATTAAACAATAAATTCTGGCTTTATCTTCTAAATCATTTGCCCATAATAATGAATTCGTAAAATTTATAAGATTCGTGCAAAGGACCCAAAATGTCATAAATATTGCACCCCAATTACGTGTTTGAATATGAAAAATTCCTGGAATTATACATAATAAACTTGCTATCAGTGATGATGATGTAAACATAAAATCCACCATTCTAATTTATTCTATTATTATTTTTCTATTATTATCTATTCTATTTTCTATTTATAATTTTACTCAAATTTTCTTAAATATTTATTATCATGAATATATATTTAATTATATAATTATATAATTATATAATTATTTTAGTCGTATGTGTTGTTGTTGTTGTTATAAAGGAGACGTGAGAGGATGAAGAAAATATATGAAAAAGAGGAGACGTCTATGTGAGTGTGTTTGCGTCTGAGGAAAAAGAATAAAGTTTTTTTTTTCTTGTTAGAAGTAATCTTCCAGCGGAAAATATTATAAAATATTATTATAGTTGTGGTCTTTCTTAGTTGAGAGCACCAGGCTTCTAACAAAAAAATTATAATATAATCAGAAAAGAAGAAGAAGTATAATATATATGAGAGTATATATTCTATGTATGATATGTATGTTATGTATGTTATGTTTGCTCGGTTTTTTTGCTATGTAAGCTATGTTTCTATGTATGCGCGTCCAAAGAGAGAATATATATATAATAGAAAAAGAGATTAGAAAAATGTATTTTTTTTTTTTTTTTATATCAGACAGTCGATTAGAATCAACTTCTTTAATAAAATAAAATAGAATAAAAAATTTAATAAAAATAATAAAAATGTACCGAATGAATTGGTGGACGAGAGTTAATAAAAAGAACTTTAGTAATGATGAAAAAAAAAAGTGAATGATAAAGTAGTAATGATAGTGTTAATAATAGAGTGGTGGTGGTAGTAATAGAAATAAATAGGAATATTAATAATGGTAGTGGTAAAATGATAAAATGATGGATGCAATAGAAAATATAGGATGCGATGCAAAGTTATTATATATTTTACAAAAAGAGAATATAAATAAAGAATATAAATTAAATTTAAGGATATTTATATATATTTATATTAAAGATGTATATATTAAAGATATATTATATTAAATGTATGTATAAAAAAAATTATAAAGATATAGAAATATATTATATATTATATATTGTATATGAAGAATAACAAAGAACCTTTGATTCAAAAAAAAAATGTGTACGATGACAATTATGGATAATTATTTAACGTGTCATGTAATCTCAAACTCTTTTTTAAACATGATACAATGTAAAAGAAAAAAGAAAAAAAGATAGATATATATATAAAATATAAATTATTAATAAATATAAATAAAAATTATAATAATAATAATATACAAGATTCATAAAAAAAAAAAAAATAAATAAATGCAAATCCCAAATTTTTATAAAAAAGAAGAAAAAGGGAATGCAAAAAATTTGAGATAAATATATATTACACGAAAATTAAAGATTTATATATATTATAAGGATGACAGTATGTGTGTACGTCCATGCTTGGATTTGTGCGTATGAAGAGAGAGAGAGAGAAATAAAAAGAGAAGAGAGAATTAAAGAAATTAGGATAAATTTTTTTTGCTCACTAACGTACGAATGCATATTACATACATACATAAACCGCTAATTAATCATTATGGCACAAAATAATTTTTTAAAGGTAAGGTTAATTTTCAAATATGGTAAGCATGTGGAGTAAATATCAATTGTAAATTTTAATAATTAAGTGGTCGAAAATAATATGTACAATGTGCGTTAAAAGCTCATCATTATTATAATAATCACTCAATGAATTCCATAATGACATAATTGATATAAAAAAAATTAAAAAATAATAAATAATAAATAATAATAAATGGAGAACTATTTAAAAAAACCAGAAATCTGGAGACAAAAAAAAAACAAATCCTTCAAATCTAAGATTATTAACAAACCAATATTAGTAATTAATTAATTATTTTTTATTTTATTACTAATAATTTTTAATTTCTCTTTGTTTATTCTGAAATCCTTGTTATTCTTTTATTCTCGACGTAATGTATATATTTTATTGTGTGTTAGTATTAAATGGGAATTTTTTTATAAAATAATTCTAAATGTATACAGTATATTATATGAATTACTTAAAACAATATATATATATATGCATATATTCATGTGCCAAAACCACTATTTGGCTCATTTTAGATTTAGAGTTTTGATTAATAACAATAAAAATAAAAATTACTGTAAATATCAAATTTTAATATGTTAAAAATTCACAAGGAATTTTTTTGGGTATCAAACAAATTCCTTTTTTTTCAAACGTTCGTTTATTCTCGATCTCGAGACTTTAATTGGTTAAAGGATTTGATCTTCCGATTTAATTGGTCAAAAATTAATGGTAAATGTCCTTATATTCATATAAATTATATTAAAAATATAAAATTAAAATGTATATCATATGCATACGTTAATTGTTTCTTTGATATGTTTTATTAAATTGATGATCAACGGCAACCTAAAAAAGAACCTTTGTCAAATATAAAAGTATAAAAAAGAAAGGTATGACTTTGTTCTAGTGCGTGACTGGAAAAAAAGTTTTATTTTTAGTATCTTTTTTTAGTAAATTTAGGTATTCTTAATATATTTTTAATGTTGCAAATAAGAAGAGAAAAAAGGAAATTTCTTGTTTTGCTAATTTAGTAATTTGTTACGCAGATTTTGTATAATTATTTTGTTTTAACAATATTTCATACTTCAATAACTCAATGTGATTATAATGAAAATTTCCATATTAGGAGAACAGTCATTTCGTATAAAATTAGAAGTTGTATAACAGATTGTTTCTCAGATTTTGTACAACAGATATTTCTCAGATTCAATAAAAATTATCTGTACCATAGATAAACTGTATACATAACGAACATATATATCAGGTTACTTTATGCAAAAATTAAAAATTTATTTATAATTTTTAATTATAACTAGAATCTCACAATTGGAATTAAAAGCTAGTTAAAATGTTAGATCAAAGAAAATGTAAAAATGACAAATTAAGAGAAATAATGATCGTAAATCTTTGTAATTTTTATAGAATATCTCATATTACAGATTGTACAGGGCTTCCGATCTCCAGTAATATTGCGTAACACTACGGAATTTTTTCAAAAAATTTCTGTTTTATGATTTTGCGCGCGATTTACACAGCGAGCGATTTTCTACTAAAGTATTCCTAATACCGATCGAAAGTCCTTGTTCTAGATTCCTGTAATGCCAATATCCATCGAGATATTCCGCTTAAAGTCAAAACGTCCATAGAAAAATTATTTGTAACAGAATTTTTATGTTAAAAATTTTGGATGTTCAGGATCAATAGCCTATTATATAGAAATCTAATATAAATTCATACAATATTAAACACAAATAATAATTTTTTTTTAAAAAAAAAATTTGAATACAAAATATGAGTTTGATATTTATGTTGTTGTTGTTTCATCCAATTTCTTGTGATAATTTAATCTCTCACTTGTATAGCATCTTAGATGACATGATCCAATATATTATATGGAACCTATCTATAAAATTCCATTCTCCTGTATGTTTAATTTTAATTGGAGAAGTGTTTTAAAGAAAAATTGCTTTGTATTTCTATAATTCAAATAATAATTTGTCACTTAATTTGTAAATCAACTTATCTACTATTAAAGTAAAATTTTTTGAGAGAAATTGGAATTATACATGCTCCCAAAATCAAATATGTAATTCTGAAATTAATCTTAAAAAAAAAAACTTAAAATAATTTTCATAGGATAAATTATTTTTAACACTAGATATAAATTTTTTGATTAAAAATATATTAGATTAGGCATTTGTTTTATATCCATATATAATTGGATATATTTAGTAATCTTGTCAAATCTGACTTCTTTCTTTTAGCTTATTGTATGTTTGTACTTTCTTGTATTTTTGTTTTGTTTTTATTTCTCTGTGCCTGAAATTAATTTTGAGAAAAAAAAAAGTAAAATAATTTTTTATAAAAGACAAAATTATTTTATTTAAAATCTGAAATTTCTTAATCACCCAAATAAATTCTTTAATTAAAAAAACACTTAACTGAAGCTCAAAATCTCAAGAAGTTTCACTACTATTGTTTTTTTACTGTTGACAAACTACTGACAACTATTAATACTTAATTGTATACTTGTTTGCTATATATTTTTTCCAAATATTTCCACTGGTCAAAATTTGACATGTCGAATACCTATCGGGTACCTATTATGGTGTCCGATAGGTATCCGATATATATTTTTTTGACATATATTGGGTACCTAATAAGTGTCATCTTATTCTCTAATATTGAACACTTATTGGAAACTTATCAGTCACATATACTATACATATTGGACACCTATTTTTCAGTTATTTTTTTTATATCAATTGGGTATCCAATTTTTTTATTCAATATCAGGAACCTATCAGTGATATGTTCTCCCCTCTGATAGGTGTTGTTGACCCTATTTCTTTATTTTTTTATATTTATATATATTTTTATTATATTATATTTTATTTTATTATTTTATTATTATATTAGTATTTCATATATGTATTATCTTATTTATTTTTAGTATAGTATATTTATATTCTT